GATCTAGCCCTTTTATTCTAAACACTACATAATGTAGTAATGGAGCACAATATTGTATTTGTTTACTTTTTCAGAGTCAGAGTCTTGCCGTGTTGCCTAGGCTGGAGTGCAGTGGGGCAATGATAGCTCACTCTAACCTTGAACTCCTGCCTCAGCTTCCTAAGTAGCTAGGACTACAGGTGCACACCACTATATCCAGCTAATCCATTTTTTAACTGACATGAGACAACTATAATTAATATCTTCTTTACTAGATGATATTAAGCCACAGATCAAAAAGTCCTAGACTTTTATACTTACTTAAGAAAAAAACCCTCAAATTTGCTGAATGTCATTGTATTAAGAGCTAATCTGTATGGTTCAATCACATAATATATTTTTGCCTACTTTCGAGTTTCGTGTTTCTATATATTTGATAAACATTCACACTAAATTTTCCTCTGTGCTGTAGATAAAATCAACCGTGTCTGAAAAGGGAGGATTGTAACCACTACCAAACCATTCTACCTGACATTAGTTTATTAGATAGTGCCTAACCTGAAATAAAAATCTGCCGATACAACATTCTCTAAAAAAAGCTTTACTATATCATATGGTAGATATTTTAAGGGATTTTAATAAAAATCAGACAGTCATCATCAAACACTGGCCACCTAAATTTTAAGCAGTAAACACAAGAATTACTCCCATAAAAAAAATAAGCATAACAGGACATTTATTGGCTACTGTTTGATATTGATTTGGATGTTCTAGATAACACAAGATAAGATGTATATGTGTATATTTACATACATATATACATATTTACATGTGTGTGTATATACCTATATACAACATATATATAAAATGTTAAAAAGGAGGATAAAATATATGACTAAATGGTAAAATTTATAGTCAATATTATGCTTGTAAAACCCCAGAGAATCAAAGGAAAAAATATAACTAAAAAACAGTTCAATTAAATAATTAGTTTAAAAAGTAAGTATAAAAATTATAACTTTCCCACATACCATCAAAATGTAGAAATCCCACTAAGCAAAAAGTGATATCTCTACCAACTATAGATAAATGAAAATGTATATTTAAATGTCTCTTATCCTCCATAAAACTCATTAAAAACAACAAAAAGTAAAGCAGACAAAAAAATAAAGTTACACCTTTGATGAAACTCTGTAAAACATTTGAACCTCAATCATGATGTATATAAACATAAGTTACTAAGTGCAGTGAAGATTGGACCAAGATATACAAATACTAGAAGAGGATATCTGTCACTGGAGATCTTGGAGAGGGCTGGTAGGTTGGTGTTTTCTAGAGTAGTGATTCTCACTGAGATGCAAAACCAATGACTCCTTGTTTTGGAACAAAAAAGATCTAGGTACAGAGGCTGAAGGCGGGATTCTCTCATAATCCTATTCGTCGATACAAAATAGGAGAGAAGGCAGGACTAAATATGATAGTGAACAGATGCACTGTTATTTCACGATTGAACCTAAGGGTGTGGCAAAGTAAGGAGAAAACTCTGGATGACAAGTTGCCCTGCAGCTGCCAGTTCTCATCAGTTGAAGATATGTTAAAACTATGGCACACATAAACTACTCCATCAAACAGTAAATACGGCTATACTGCAAGCAGTAAAAAAGTGAACAGGCTCTGCTTCCATACAGTCAAGAACAAAAAGAAACACTTGAGAACGTTGGGAAAAATGAGTGGAAAAGAATAAAGAATTTTAAAGAATTGGAGAGAAAAGTATAGCTTTGGAATACAGAAAAAAGAGATACAGCATACTGCTAATAGATGTCTTCAAAGAGACCAAATACATGGACAAAGGGGAAAAAAATCCAAAGACATCATGCAAGAAAACTTTTTGAGATACAAATAAATTTCAGATTTTTACTCCAGCAATGGAAATCTAGTTTGTCTTCAGCCAGTGGCATATCAAGGACAACAGCGGGACCATGAGAATGGTTTTCCCTGATTGTAAGGCTGCAGTTTTGGACATTACTACGTATATAGTATTTAGAATGGAAGAGCTAGGCCTCCTCATGTCAGCACTTATTTGACCAATGGGAGTATGACTTTAAGTTTTTAGGGTCACACTATGAGGGTGAAATAGAAAAAAAAATTACAGAAAGATAAATTTTTGGTCAGATGCAGTGGCTCATATCTGCTGTAGCAATTTGGGAGGCCAAGATGAGAGGATCGTTTGAGCCCAGGAGTTTGAGACCAGCTGGGTAACATAGTGAGAACTTGTCTCTTCAAAAAATTAAAAAATTAGCTTGGTGGCACTTGGCCTGTGAGTTCCAGACCAGTCTAGGCAACATGGTGGGACCCTATCTTTACAAAATATTTTTAAAAATTAGTTGGGCATGGTGGCGTGTACCTGTAATCCCAGCTACTCAGGAGGCTGGGGTAGGAGGATCACCTGAGCTTGGGGAGGTAGAGGCTGCAGTGAGCCATGTTCATGCCACTGCACTCCAGTCTGGATGATGAAGTAAGATTCTGTCTCAAAAAAAGGACAAAATGAAATACAAGCAATGAAAGGTCCTGCTAAAGAGAAGTTTTGTTAATTCATAATTTTAATGTTCATCTGCTTATCTTATCTAAATGGCAAAATTCTTTAGCCTTCCTTATCTTTGTGATATACTTCTCTCTTAAGTGTTACTTTCTCACAAATCCCAGTTTACTTGAATAAGAATCCAATGTTATGGCAAAAGTTAGGGAGGCATATGGAGGGACAAATTCTGCTGGGTGGATGCTTTCCTTATTCTTTTTACAAATGAAATCTTTTGAAAATAGACGTCAGTGGCAGTTTAAATAGAGAAATGGGAAAAAGGGAAACCAAAAATCTGAGAAGGTGTGAAGGAGGAGGAGTTTCTGTGAAGATTTCTCATGCTGTTCTCTGTATGCATTTTCCCTTTTTCCTCATGCCCTAATCTACACCCACACATACTATTTCCCTGGGTGCAGCTCAGAATTCCTAAACCTGGGATTATTGGAGGCTTGGCTGCAGATCTAAAAGTAAGGGGCCTGCCAAAAGTTGGGTACATCTTTCCTTTTGTATTTCATCTGTTTAAGACAGAAAGAATAACCTTTCATTCCAAAGCAGTTAGCTTGCTTAGCAACATTAATTTAAAATAAAGAAATGCAAATACTAATCTCTGGCACTGAAGCAGAAAATTTGTTTTGGTTTTGAAATTTGGTGAAGAATGTTATTTTTTAGGGACTGTTTTGCATCCTGGTGAGGTCTACTGAGGTCTGTACTTGTGACTCTACCTAATAGGCTGACATGTTTCCTCCTTTAATTTTATCTGAGATTTGGTATCAATGATCTTTTGGTTTCTTAACTCAAAAAGGCAAACTAACCAAGGAGTATTACTACTTACATTGCCTTATATCACACTGTGCTTTTTCTAGTTCCCTGGAAGAGATAAGGAATGGGTTAGTGTGTTCAGGGGAGGTAACTGGTTTTTGGTGGAACACTGGAGTTATCAATCCTACTCTTAGTGTTAAAAAGAGAATGCCAGAGCTACCCCTCTCTCCACCATTTTAATCAGCAATTTAAAAAAATTTAAAATATTATAGAAATATGCACGTTGAGGCTGGGCGCGGTGGCGTGGGGCTCACGTCTGTAATACCAGCACTTTGGGAGGCCACGGCAGGCTAAGTTCGAGACCAGCCTGAGCAACATGGTGAAACTCTGTCTATACTAAAAATACAAAAATTAGCTGAGCATGGTGTTGTGTGCCTGTGATCCCAGCTACTTGGGAGGCTGAGGCAAGAGACTCGCTTGAACCTGGGAGGGGGAAGTTGCAAGGAGTTGAGATCACACCACTGCACTCCAGCCTGGGCGACAGAGTGAGACCCTGTCTCAAAAAAAAAAATGCAGGGTGAGTGCAGTGGCTCATATCTGTAATCCTAGCATTTTGGGAAACTGAGCTGAGTTGGGAGGATCACTTGAGCTCAGGAATTTGAGACCAGCCTGGGCAACAAAGCAAGACCCCTATCTCAAAAGAAAGAAGGAAAGAGAGAAAGAGAGAAAGAAACAGAAAGAAGGAGGAAGGAAGAAAAGAAGGGAGGAAGGAAGGAGGGAAGAGAAACGAAGGAAGGAAGGAAATTCAAACATACACTAAAGTTGAGAGAATTGTGTAATTGACCCCAATGTACCATCACCCAGCTTCAATAATTATAGTTAGCTTTAGGCGGATTTCTACCAGAAAATATGTCCTGGAAACTTTAATTCTTGATCTGTGTTCAGATTTTGCCTTTCAAATTTTGACTATTGGGTCTTTGAACATTGCCCCTGTATTAAAAGAAGGATTTGAATGAGGACTTTAGTGCTTAATAGTCAATAGTCAATGAGTCTCCTTTTGGCTCTCCTCCTTCTTAGGGAAAGGAACTGGTTGTAGGGTGTTAGGCAGAATTTGGGTATATTTGTTGTGGCTCAGAGATGTTTTTCATAGAACTGATCACTGTCCCAAATTCCATGTAGATGACCAAATTAAAAGCGAGGCTGGGGAAAGGATGGGTATCCAGCCTATTCTAATCCTGCCTCATGGTGTTTTCTAAATATTTACAGAAAGAAAATTTAGAGTAGTTTCCTGGCCAAACTCTGATGAGCATCTCAGTACTTTCCCCTCCACTTCTTCTCACGTCCTCTTTGGGGACAGGTTGTCAAATCTTTGAGTTTCTAGTTATTGGTATTGACTGGTTTATGACTCCCTCTTTCACCCAGGTTGTCAAGAGCCGTTTGCAAAACACTCCCAAGTAGAGCCTCTTGGGGAAGGAGAAACTGGTGTCACGCAAAAAGGCCTTGCGCTCGCTGCCTCTGCTGCCTCGAAAAGCCAGAGTCCGCAGGCAGTTGGATGCGAACACTATTCCCCAATCTTTCCCTCCTTGTCGTCTCTATTGCACTCTTGGCAACTCCTGGGATACAAGAGGGTGCAGGACAGACTTCAAATCGCAGCAGGATCCAGGGCGGAAAGCCGCGCAGCGCTTGTTTGGGGGGCTGCTGTTTCCTTAAGCCTAGAAGGCGTGGTTCCTAACGTTCACGGTCCCGCCTCTCGCCGCCTCCGCCCGGCGGCTCCACGCGGAGTCCAGCCCTCTCCGCTGGAGAGGTGAGCCAGGGTCTGAGCGCTGGGACCAGACGAGCGGCTCCCAAAGGCTGGCAGAAGGAGCCCAGCGGGGCTCAGCCCCAGTTGCCAGCAGTCTGCAGGCAGAGGTTGTGGAGGTTAAGGCTCCGGGGGCAGCCTCAGGGCGTTGCCCTAGAAAACGCCGTTTAAGGAGAGACTTGTTAGTGTCTCAGGGCGTCTCCCAGGCTCCGCCGGGCGCCCCCTGCCAGCGCCGTGGGCGAGACCCCAGCCCACTCGCTGCTACTGGAGACGGTACCTCTCGCACCGGGCGGGCAGCCTCGTCTCTACACCCCTAGGGGGCGCCGCGCTCCTCAACGCCGGGCCGGCTTCGCTTTCCCAGACGGCTGCCCAGCCTCCAGCTTAGCAAGCCCGGCTCTCACCCGGCCAGCCCGGGCAATGCCGGCGTTCCGGGGGCGCAACGTCGGAGGTCACTGAGTATCTAGCTCGGAGCAGTGACGGCCGGCCGGAGCGTGCTCTTTCCCGCGGCTTGTGGTCTCCGGGAGTCCGGAGCATGGTCTTGGGTCAGCGTTGGTGGAGCGCGTTGGTCGAACGTGGACGCCCATAGGGAGGATGGTAGGCTGGGGGGTGGCCATTCTATGTTTGTGGGTTTCCGGCGCTGCAGCCGGACAGCTCGAGTACTCAGTGCCAGAGGAGACGGAGCGGGGCGTAGCTGTAGGTAATGTTGCCGCGGACTTGAGGCTGCCAGCGGCCACTCTGTCCTCGCGGAACTTTCGCTTCCTTTCCAGCCACCGGGAGCTCTACTTCGGGGTGGACCTGGCAAGCGGCAGCTTGGTGGTCACAGAGCCGGTGGACCGCGAGCGGCTGTGCGGGGCCAAAGCTCCCTGCATCTTGACCTACGACCTGGTGCTCGAGGAACCGCTGGAGCTGCACAAGATTCGCGTTCACGTCCTGGACACTAATGACAACTCACCTCTCTTTCCTGCCGGCGACTTGCAGCTGCACATCCCGGAGTTCCTGATGCCCGGAGCCCGATTTGCTCTCCCGAATGCTCAAGATGACGACGAGGGAAGCAATGGGATGCTAAGCTACAGCCTAAGCCCCAGCCAGCACTTTCGCCTGGACATGGGATCGCGGGTTGACGGAAGCGAATACCCGGAGTTGGTGTTGGAGAAAGCACTGGATCGCGAACAGCGCGCCAGCCACCTGCTGGTGCTTACAGCTCGGGACGGCGGGCTACCTGCCCGCTCAGGAGACGCACAAGTCACTATCATTGTGGTGGACACAAATGACAACGTGCCTGTATTTGAGCGCTCCGTATACCGCACCAAGGTTCCAGAGACTGCACCCAATGGGACTGTGTTATTCCGAGTTCAAGCCTTGGATCCAGATGAAGGGTCCAATGGGGAAGTCCGATACTCCCTAAGCAATAGCACGCAAGCAGAGCTGCGACACCGCTTTCATGTGCACCCTAAAAGTGGGGAGGTGCAAGTAGCTGCTTCACTAGGTCCGCCTGAAACGCTTTTGGAGGCATACATTGAGGCGAGGGACTAAGGTGCCTTTGGTCTAGCTAGCACTGTCAAATTGTTGGTGGAGGTGACTGACGTGAACGATCATGCCCCTGAACTGGACTTCATGACTCTTTGGAACCCAGTATCTGAGGACGCTGCTCCTGGCACAGTGATTGCTCTCTTTAGTGTAAAGGATGAAGACCTCGGTTCCAATGGTAGAGTCACTTGTAGCATGTCCAGTGGAGGCCCTTTTCAGCTGACGGCTTCCTTTGACAACTACTACAGCCTGATGATTGATGGGCCCCTGGACCGGGAGCAGATCAGTGAATACCAAGTCCTAATCACGGCCTCAGATAGTGGCTCGCCCCCACTTAGCACCCGAAGGGTAATCACTGTGTCAGTTGGTGATGTGAATGACAATACACCAAGCTTTCCTCAACTGCAGCAGGAACTTTTCGTTGCTGAAAACAATGGTCTTGGGGCGTCTCTAGGCCGAGTGTTTGCCCAGGACCTCGACCTGGGGAAGAATGGCCTTGTCTCTTATGAGCTGTTGGATGTTATCTCTGAGGGGCCACCAGCCTCTAGCTTGGTGGCAGTGGAATCATCCAGTGGGGCCATCACTGCCAAAACTTCCTTTGACTTTGAGCAGCTCAGGGGGTTTCACTTTCAGGTAGAAGGCCGGGATGGTGGCATTCCTCCCAGAAGTGCGACAGTGACTATAAACTTGTTTGTGGTAGATAGGAATGACAATTCTCCGGTTATCTTGTTTCCCTTGCCCAGAAATGGTTCTGTTCCAGTGGAAATTGTGCCCCGCTCTGCCAGGACTGGACACTTGGTCACGAAAGTGGTAGCAGAGGATGCAGACAGTGGTTCCAATGCCTGGCTTTCCTACCACATCTCCCGGGCATCTGACTCTAGTCTTTTTAGAATTTCAGCCAATATAGGTGAGCTCCGTACTGCTCGCTTAGTTCTTCCCACTGATGCAGTTAAGCAGAGGGTGGTGGTAGTGGTTCAGGACCATGGAGACCCACCACTTTCCTCCTCTGTCACTCTGGGTGTGCTGTTGAGCAACTCTGTCCCTCAGTTACTTCCAGACTTTGAAGATGTCTGGGAACCAGGAGGGCAGCTTTCTGCCCAGAACTTGTATTTAGTAATTGCCTTGGCCTGTATTTCCTTTTTATTTCTGGGGTGCTTACTTTTCGTCATGTGTACCAAGTTGTGCCAGAACCCAGGCTGTTGCCCTCAGAGCTGCTGTCGCTCTACAGAGGATCTGAGGTATGGAAGGAAGATGGTTTCAAATCCTTGCATGACATCAGCCACCATAGATGTCACTACAGTTGAGAGACTTTCTCAGACTTATCTCTATCGGGCCTCTCTAGGACTTGGTTCTGATAATAACAGTTTGCTGTTGCGTGGGGAGTACAATGCTGCTGACCTGCAAAATCTTGCCACTGGGGTAGGACTGAATTTGCCAATATCCTGCATTCAGGTTCGGAATAGGAAAGGGGATCACACTAATGTCAATGCCATGGTAAGCAAATTTTATGGAATTTGATTCCTTTGACCAGGAGATGGCTGCTAGCTATGTTCTGAAATGTTTCTTAGACAAGCCTTTAGCAACATTTCATCAATTGAATTAAACACTCCTTTTTAGCACTTTCTGTGCTAAGAAATCTGGGGATATAGAAGTATTAGAAGATTGTCCTAGGCCTCAAGGGGCTTATAGTTTGTTTATTTTTGAGAAACAAGGGTAAAAAATTAAAACCTATTTAAGAACAATAAAAGTAATATGGCATAAATGTCTAAAATTAAAAATAAAATACCAAAATATTTTATAAGCAATAGGTGTGTAAGGCACTCTAATATTTAAAGAATGAAAAATATGTAAGAGTCTGCATAAAACGAATATAATATGGAAGTAGAGACATTTACTTAAATTGTTGCAATGCTTTATTAAAAGATGACAATAACCACATAAGATGTAAAAATAAATTGCAATGGGGATTAAATGAAGGGAGAAGGAGAACATGAGAAAACATTTGAGTGGAGAGGAAGGAGTCAGAGAAGGCTTTGTGATAGAGATGGCATTTTAGTTGGATGTTGAATATGATATACCATTTAATAAAATACAGTGTATTCTCTAGCATATACTTTTCATGAATACCATTTTGGTGAAGGTGGCTTCTTTGGGATTGACACCGTAAAACATAGCTAATAGCTCCATAGCAGTGTTTTGTAAGTACACAGAAGTTATAAGCCTGTTCATAACATCTATTTATACTGATAGAATATCATACTGTTGGATAAAGGACTTGACAACTTTTGTTTTGTGTTTTTATTAATAATATTTTACAAAGAGGAAAGATGAGTAATTTTTATGTCAGAAACATTTGTGTGTTCAAAGGTGCACTTACCATCCAAAGTCCATTCAACTAGGATTTAATTTATTTTAGAGGACAGATACACTTAACAAATAAATATTATATTTGGGAGAAATGTATCTAATAAAAGTTAAGTGATTCAAATACTTCAATTTGTCTGTTAGTGGCTCTTGGCATTTCAAAACTTTTTTTTTTTTTCTTTTTTGAGATGGGGATCTCACTATGTTGCCCAGGCTGGTCTCAAACTCCTGGTCTCAAGTGATCCTCCCGACAAGGCCTCCCAAAGTGCTGGGATTACAGGCATGAGCCACTGCAGCTGGCCCTCAAACTTCTTTAGTGGAATTAGGGCAACATTTTTAAGCAATTCTACATTATTATTTTTTGACTTCTCATAGAAATACTAGATACAAGAGAAGATTTGTAGAATTAAGGAAGGAAAATGAAGCATTCCTTGTTTTACTATTCTAGGAAGTAAGAAGAAAAGTGGCTTGTAAGCTAGTCTTTCTTAAGTGTTGATGTTAACTGTAAATAAAGTAAATTTACATATGTTATAATTTTGTGTACTTAATATTTTCATGATATAATATAATCCAGCATATGAGATTTGCTTAGTAAATGCTGACTGAATGAATAAATATGTGCATATATGAATTAGATGGTAACACTGTTCAGCATAGAGGGAAAACCTTTAACTTACTTTTCTACTTTAGATGCGTATATGTGGTTAGCAGTTTCAAGGTCACTTTCAAATGTATTGTTTCAATGATTATTTTCTTCCTCATGACATACACTAATAACAGAAGAATTTTCTGGTTCTGGAGCTAGCATGAAAACCTTCAATGCCATGTCTGGGACTAAGTATGAGTCCAGTTCTATAGGTGACAAAGGAATTAATAGATATGCACATCATTACATTGTGAAATTTGCAGTGGATACTATTTAATAGAATCTCAGTTAATTTAAGGGAAGGAAATTGGTGCACTACAATGCTAAATTTCAGGTATTGGAGCCCTTAATATGTAAACACTTTTCCTACCAAGAAACTTCACTATTTATTTCTTTTATTTAATTGCTTTCTGTAACAAAAAAAGATGAGAATACCAGTAATGGCTATAAAGTTTGGGAGTGAGGAATTTTTTTTAGAAATACATTTTCACTAGACTAGAAAGGAAATTTAAGTGATAGGAAGGCTGATGAATCTAGAAGTTAGAAGGAAAATTAACTATTTAAAAGGAAAAAATCTAGGAAATAACAGAGGAAAAAAGCCCCTTTCCACCACAATTTTAAACTTATGTAAATGATAAACAAAATAATAGAGATATACTGTTCAAATGTTTAGGAATATTGTACCATTCCATTCATTCCGTTGAACAATCTTTTTCCATCATTGTTGATATTTCGCTTTTTAGGTAGCTCATTTTTGTGGGCTGAATATTTCCTTATAAATAAATGAAATATAATTCATAAAAACATGAATAAAATAACCTCTATAAATATGGGGTATTTGTAATTCACAAAGGCATTTGTTATTTACTTCTTCCTGTTCAATTACATATTGATCTGATCTTAATTCTTGAGAAAAGAATTCATGTCATAGTATCCTGAATGCCTTAATAACAACAGAATTCTAGAAATAAAATATTTATTGCTTTTATTTTATTTCAAATCATTTGAAAAACATGACATTTAACAATGATTATAATGTGTGTCTGAGTCTTATAGAATCATGTTGATGCATGTGTGTATATATTTGGTTTGAATTCTTAGTTCTTTCATTTTAGTTTACAGTAAGTTTACAGTATCTATTAACATAGCTTGTAATACTAAAAATTATCAGTTTAAGAAATTCAGAAAAACATGGTTTTTATCTCTATGTTTCCAATTGATAATATTGAATATATAAACAAAATTGATCCATTGATTGTTTAACAATTAGACAATGTATACCTCGTGTCCATTTTTTTCTGCTAATATTTTTGATGGGCAATTTAAATTTTTTTAGAATGGTATCTAAGATGGTACCTCTGAGATATACATTTCTACTTATTAAACATTGATTGCATTGGCAATTTTTAAAGGTATAAATATATTAATGTAGCAAAAATGCACGAAACACTTAATGTATAACTGACCTTATTAAATTTCCACATGAAAGTCACACATACTTTGAACATACCAATGTTATATTAGTGTATTGTTCTTCTGGAATTAAAGCATCTTCTTTTTTGCCAGGGGACGTAGGAAATAAGGTATTTCTTCTTTGCAATGTCATTTGTTAACAGTGGTAGACTGTTTATGGCATTCAAGGTGCTTTATTTAACACGCATTCCACAAGTAGACTTTTCCATAGGTTAACTGGATGTTTTGTATATCTGTTTTGACTTTGATGCTGATAACCACACTTTAAAAAACTTTAGAATGATGAAACTATGGAAGTTTGTATGACATGTGAAATTCAAATTTAAAAAATTCATATAGATAACCCAACAGTATTGTATAATAGAGACTCTCAAATCAGTAAAAAGGAAATAAAAAGGAACGTTATAATTTGAGTGGACATAAGGGAAAAGCAATGCCTTGGAAACGTACAAGTAGGAAAATATTGACAACATGTCTCATAATGTTAATAACTTACTGACTTTTGCTGTCTTCAGTATTTTCTGTTAGAGGGAAGCAATATTTCAACAACTAAATTCACTTAGCTAGGTTGGAATGAAGGTGGACTAAATTGCTGAAAGGTTTTAACAATGCTCAAATAAATGCATGCCAAATGAATATCAGAAATATTAACATTTGGCAGAACTTCAAATGAATATGGATTACAGTTCAGGATCCTGACTAAAGTATTATGGGAAGTAAGGAATTTGTTGGTAAGGGTTGTTCTTAAGAAACAAAGCTAAATAATAAAGGTAGCCACTCATTTTGTTTCCAGTTTTAATTGATGGAGTAAGATAATGGTTCAGGATATGAATAAATTACAAGTCTCTTTTATACTGCTTTTATGAAAAAGAAAGGACTATAAACACAAAAGGTTATAAATTCATCTGGAACTTGTTTTGGAATCTAGAAATAAATATGCAATCTCGTATTCTCCTGTGCTGTAGAGAAAGATAAACACTTTATTTCTAACCCATCCCAAATTCCTTGGCTGTTCCTAGAGCCATTTGGTTACCATCTACAGATATTCTGTGTTCATAGGAGTACTCCAATGACATACCTTCAAAATGTACTCTGAATTCAGACACATTATAGCTATTCCTTAGAATTGCAAAAACTACAGCTGTTTTGTTTAAACGCAAAATAATGTTTATATAAAATAAAAACAACCAATTAAGAAGTCTTAATAGTGGGTTTTAAGGTTGATTTGTCTTTTTCTTTTCTTATCAGTGTTACCAAACACTAATATCTGATATCAAGGTCAGGTTGGCCCTGTTAAACAAGTTGGAAATTCTGTCTGTCTCTCTCACATTTTTTTTTTTTTCTTTTCCCTGGACATGTTTGCTGAGATTGGTGATACAGCTTTCTTAAATATTTAGTAGAATTCACTAGTGAAGCTCACTGTACTTAAAGTTTTCTTTGTGGGAAAATTTTAATTGAGATCAAATTTCTTTGTATTTTTATTGCTCTTATTTCATTTCTATACATTTTATTTTTTCAGATATACGTTAGTTTTATATGTACTTTTTGAATATTTTGGCATAAAGTTGTTTATAATGTCCTGTTTTGACTTTTTTCACATCTGCAGGATCTGTAGTGATGTTTCCTTTTTCAATCCCGGTGTTATTGTCACCTTTCATTTTTCTTGACTAGACTTGGCAGTAGTTTATTAATGATATTAGTTTTTCCAAGGCTAACTTTTGGTGTTTTGGGTTCTCGTTCTTGTATATTTGCTTTCTATTTTAATACTTTTTCTATTTTATTAATTTATTTCCTTCCTTATATGTTTATACTTCAGTATGCAACAGAAGTACTTTAAACATACTTTTTGTTTCTGTTTCTTCACACAAAATATTAAAAAGACTTGTCCTTAATGGTGGAGATTTAACAAATTAATAATAATCAGTGCTTTGTCCAGGACATTTTTACTGGTATTTTTCTTCCTGCAAATGTCCAATCATTAATGTAATGATCACCAGTACCGTGTGGAGCCACTGCCTTGACTCCTTCTATGGTGCCCAGGTTTACCCACCAATGCTTTTGCATTATCAATGCAAGTGTAAATATAGTGAAAATGCAAATAATGTTTAACATTGTTTTGAAAATTATTTTCACCTCATGGACACCTAAAGCATTCATAGACCACACTTTGAGAACCCCTGTTCTAATTCTATCATTTCTTCTTCTTCTTCTTCTTCTTCTTCTTCTTCTTCTTCTTCTTCTTCTTCTTCTTCTTCTT